AAATATGACAAAATCAGCTGGGTCAAACATACACGCCACAACTTCAATGATCAGCTTTGGTGATGTAGATCTGTGATTATGATTGACAACAGCTGGTGACTCCTCTGAGGCAATTTCAATAGGGCCCATTGGAGACACTCATTAGACTCTGCCACAAACACTACAGTTGGAAAGTCTCTTAGGCTCCAGGTCTATTCGCTGTGTTCAGAGAATTAATATGCAAGTTACTCAGCCCCAATTCCCTGGTTCCAGCTGCCTAGCCAAGACAACCCACCTGCTCTGCAATTACTAACATCTCAGACCCTACGACAAGCCAACTAACCTCCTCGTGTCAGCCCACTCCACTCTGACCAAGAGAGTAGATGTCCTACAATCCCCTCCTGCCCATTCTACCTTTTATTAATAACCTTTCACCACCCCTCTAGCTTCTGAGTCCAGCTTGTGGTTCCTCTCCAACTAGACAATAACAATCCGAAGGTAAGCCAAACCGCCTGCTGGTTGGTTCTTCATATTTAGCAAAAAAAAAAAAAAAAGCGACTAGTGTCAATTTTCTCTTTAAACTCTCAACAAGAAAGGGAATAAGCCTGTAATCTGTGTTTCAAAAGCTGCACGGATCTCTTTGACAGTTGAGAAATGATGCACCCCCTTGTTCAGTCCATTTCAGATAAGTGCTGTGCATTTCATGTACAACTTGAATAATCTCTGCGCCGGAATGCAAAAAGGTCAACAGTGTAACACCTTTGTTTTTTGCATGCAGCTGTGTCGTCGGGCATAAAAGCAGCCTCGATGATTGAATAAGCTGACAGAGCCTGAATATCACCTCTACGCTTTGGAGCTCATTCACAAGACACAGGAGGGCGTTTATTCGGTGAAGCACTGCCGCATGACTGGAGAGTCGCTGAGATATGAGGTTATTGATAGAGAGCGGTAGTAGAACTGACAGAACGGAGTTTCGCCGCGTCTGAAGTGCTAATGCTAGTGACGGCGAAAGGCTGCTTAAAAATTCATTAAAGAAATGATTCCCAGTACAGTCGGTGTAATGCTACAATAATTGCATCTCAAGGGGGACGGTGGATGATTATGTGCATGCAAGCAGATGTACTTTGCTAAACAGTGAAGACTCATATGCTCAGAGATTACCTTTAATAACACGCCACTCAATAAAACCCATTATGTTCATGGCCCCTTATTAAATTGAGTGAGAGACAAACAAGTGGGGAAGGGGAGAGAGATGGACAGACAGAAGGACTGGGGGGGAAATGCTGTGATTGGAATCTTGACCCAGTTACCGAAGCTCTGACCAGAGATAAAAAAGCATAACAGGAAACAAAAAAAAATGAAGCATCTGTCTTTAAATACTTAGGTAGATTATGTCAGCGGGAAACGTGGCTAATTTGGTTTAGGGAAGCATAAAGGAGTGACGCCTTGTGAAACAGATATCTTCCTGAGGGTATTTGAATACCGCTGACCTATTTATTAATTGGATTTTGCTGTTTATTTTTGAAGTGTTGCTCGTGTGAATAATGTATCTATGGATCAGTGGTTCCCCGTACAACACCATAATTACTGTTCCTTTTGCAGCTGTCTTTACAAAGATAAAGGTCAATGTTAATCATACATAGAGATGTGATGTATGTCAACATGTTCCCGGGAAATAACCAGCTCCAACACTTTCAGTTCCCTTGCGCAATGCCCTTGGTGTAAAAGGGAGAACGCATTTTTATGCAGCATACATTCTTGCAAGTGTGTACGTATCAGAGAGAATAAAAAGTTGTTTCTATGCCATGAATTAAAAACCTTCAAACTATGAATGAACAGCGCACGAGTGAGTCAGCGGCATAATTAAAACATTCCTTGAGACTCCGAATCCGTGCACATCCCCGGCGCAGACTCTCATCTCATGTTAGTCGAGAGAGAGATCTGCTATTTTGAATCAACCTGTAGGCATTGGAGAAATGAGGTCAGATGCAAACAACGTCGCTGTGGGAATCCAGCATTTGAACACAGTGACATTTCTCTGTGGACAAAAAAAATAGCGAGAGAGAAGAAAATGGCTGAAGGGAGGAGCACCTCAAAATGTCACAGGAGGTACATGCAAAAAAAAGCAAAAAATCACTACACAAACTGCAGCTCTGAGAAGTGAAGAGGTCACTTGACGACTGCAAGGCTTTCCCAAAGAGACTCGTAATACAAAAAAAAAGTGCCAATCCATTGTTTCCTGGCAATTTTGTGGCTTCCCTGCAAGATTGAAAAAAGGTTTATCACCGTAATAAAAACGGTTATAGATCACACGTGTTCTCCCCCACACAAGAAATAGCTCGAACAGATGTGGCCTCTAAGGTTAGAGTGAGAAACTGAGGTGTTGGAAAGATGCCGTCACCTGAGCTGCAGGAAGAAAAAAATAATCAAGACCTGTGAAAAAGGCATTGTTTCTGCATGATGTGTTATTGGTGTGATTAACATGTGTGATTGGTGCGATTAACATGTATCCTCCAGCTCAAATATTAACA